CTGCCAGCAACTCCAGGTCTGCTGTCAACTGAGTTGGTATGGTAGGGCTCACTTCTTGGCTTCCAAGTGCCTTCTTCAATTGAGACACATGGAACACAGGGTGGACGCGGCAAGAATCAGGCAAACTCAGCTTGTAGGCCACATTTCCCACGCGTTGCTCCACCAGAAATGGTCCATAAAAACGCGGAGAGAGCTTCTCATTAGGCCTCTTAGCAAGAGACTTTTGTCTATATGGCTGAAGCTTGAGGTAGACATAATCTCCCACTTGGAATTCGACCTCTCTTCTCTTTAAATCTGCATTTGCTTTCATCCTTTGCTGTGCACGAAGCAAATTCATCTTCAAATCCTCAAGCACCCAATCCCTTTCTTGTAACCAAACTTCCAAGCTATCCACCGGAGTTTGGCCTTTTCCCACTTTAATTAGCTTTGGGGGAACTCTTCCATAGACCACTCGAAATGGGGTAAACCCGATTGACTCATGGTGAGCTGTGTTGTAAGCAAATTCAGCCCAATGTAACCATTTTCCCCAAGATCTGGGCTGCCCATTCACAAAGCACCTTAAATATGTTTCCAAGGTCTTGTTGACTATTTCTGTTTGTCCATCGGTTTGGGGATGGTAGGCGGTGCTTCTCTTAAGTTCCGTGCCTTGTAGCTTAAACATCTCTCTCCAAAAAATACTCATAAAAATTCGATCCCGATCCGACACTATAGAGCTAGGAAACCCATGAAGCTTGACCACTTCCTTTACAAAAATGGCAGCTATTGTGGCAGCACTATACGGGTGTTTTAGCCCAACAAAATGGGCATATTTGGAGAGCCTATCGACCACAACCAAGATAGAATTCATCCCCATCGAATTGGGAAGACCTTCTATGAAGTCCATCGATACATCCTCCCATATGGCTTCCGGAATAGGTAGGGGTTGCAAGAGTCCCGCGGGCTGCATTTGAGAATGTTTTGCTTGCTGACAGATGGGGCAGCGTTGCACATGCTCCGTGACATCCCTTCTCATCCCAATCCAATACCACTCCGAAGCAATCCTCAAGTAGGTAATAGTCTCTCCTTGATGTCCCCCAATGGGGCTATCATGATACTCTTGCAAGAGCTTGGGAATCAAGGTGGAAGACTTGGGTATTGCCACCCTCCCCTTAAATAACAACCTACCATTCTCAATGGTGTACCCAACATACGACCCTTCCCCTTGCCGCACTGCTGCTGCTATTTTTCCCGGAAGGCTATCCTCCTCAACCTCTTTTTCTAACTCTTCCCACTTAATACCCTGGACAGAAACCATGGCTGCCATTTCCAACTCCGAGCCACCTCTTCTAGAGAGAGCATCCGCCACTCTATTGCTAGCTCCCGGTTTGAATTGGATTTCAAAGTCGAAACCCAATAATTTGCGCACCCATTTTTGATAATCTCCCCCCACCTCTCTTTGCTCCATCAAATATTTCAAGCTTTGTTGATCCGTTCTCACCACAAAGTGACGGCCTAGTAGGTAATGGCGCCACTTCACAATGGCTAAGCAAATCGCCATTAGCTCCTTCTCATATGTGGCCTTTGCTTGCGACTTAGGGCCCAATAGCTTGCTGTAAAATGCTATATGCCTAGAGTCTTGCATTAGCACGGCTCCTAGACCGTAGCCCGAGGCATCGGCCTCCACCACAAATAACTTGCTGAAATTAGGCATTACCAGCACAGGGGCAGCCACCATGGCAGCCTTGAGCTGCTCTAATGCCTTAGCTGCCTCGGTTGACCACCCAAAATTATCTCTCTTAAGCTGGTCGGTCAAGGGTCTAGCTATTTGAGCATACCCTTTAATGAATTTGCGATAATAGCCGGTTAGTCCCAAGAAACCCCGCAGCTCCTTCAAATTTTTTGGAGTAGGCCACTCCACCATGGCCTTGACTTTCTCCATGTCCACCGCCACCCCACCTTGGGACACCACGTGACCCAAATAAGCAACTTGCTGCTGTCCAAACTCGCATTTCTTGAAATTCACCACCAAACGGTGTTCCTTGAGCAATCCCAACACTACCCTCATGTGCTCTCGATGACTCTCTATGTTGGGGCTATAAATCAAGATGTCATCGAAGAAAACTAACACGAATTTTCTCAAATGAGGTCGGAACACCTCATTCATCAAGGCTTGAAAGGTGGCGGGAGCGTTAGTAAGCCCAAAGGGCATTACCAAAAACTCGTAGTGGCCCTCATGGGTTCGGAAGGCGGTCTTGAGTGTATCCTCCTCCCTTACTAAAATTTGGTGATAGCCCGACTTGAGGTCGAGCTTGGAAAAGATGGCAGCCCCATGAAGCTCATCTAAGAGCTCATCAATGATGGGAATAGGGTATTTGTCCGGAATTGTTTCCCGGTTCAAAGCACGGTAGTCTACACAAAAGCGCCACGAGCCATCTTTCTTTTTAACCAACAACACCGGGCTTGAAAAAGGGCTCACCGAAGGCTTGATGATTCCGGCCATTAACATCTCCCTAATCATCCTTTCAATCTCATCTTTTTGAAATTGGGGGTACCGGTAGGGCCTCACACTCACCGGGTTGCTTCCCTCTTTCAACGCGATTGCATGTTCATGTCCCCTCTTGGGTGGTAACCCCTTGGGTTCGGCAAAAACACTTTGAAATTCCTCCATTACCTCCTCCAACCACGTGGGTGGTGCTGCCACCAGTGGCTCGGCTCTCTCTGCTCTCGAATTCATCTCCACATGGTTGATTTCTACCCATAACCCACCTCCCTCGTGCCTCAAGGCCTTCAACATTGCCCTGAGCGACACCTTAGAGTGCTCCAACGCCGGATTTCCCACCAAGGTAACCCTCCGATCACCCACCATAAAACTCATGATATGTGTCTTCCAATTGTGCGTGACCGACCCCAACTTCTCCAACCATTCAATTCCCAAAATCATGTCAGCACTTCCCAATTTCAAAGGCAGGAAGTTATCAACCACCACAAACCCTCCATTCAAGACCACCCTTACCCCTGTGCATCTCCCTTTCCCCACGATCACATCCCCATTCCCCAGTGACACTTCAAATTCGCGGTCACCGCTCACTGGAATTCCCGCCTCCGCCACTAACACCTCCGAAACGAAGTTATGTGTGGCTCCAGGGTCCACCAAAATCACCACCTCTTTCGGACCAACCCTCCCTTCCAATTTCATGGTTTTCGGCCTCGAGATTCCCACTAAAGAGCAGAGGGTAGCTCCGGCCATCACCTCGTCGTCGCTGGTGTCCAGTTCCGGCGGTTTGGACGGCCCAGCTCCGGCGTCTTCCTCGCCGCCGAGCAGCAGCACACTAAGCTCGCGGTTCTTGCAGCGGTGACCCACGCTCCACCGCTCATCGCACCTGAAACAAAGCCCTCTGGCTTTGCGCTCTTGGTGCTCAGAATCGGTCAGCCGCCGCGGCTCCGCGGACCTCGCTGTTGAGCCGGTGGTAGGTCGGGGAAGGTTAACGGAGGCTTGAGACCCGGGGGTGCTAATCGGAGCCTTAGGCCACCCTTTGAAGGTTGTAGCTTGTTGGGCAGGGGTACCATACGAGCTAAGTAGGCTCGACCCGACTGGTGTTTTGGGTCCGGATGACCCAGTTGTGCTAGTAGTGGGTCGACCCGAACCGAAGTACCCGGGTGGTTTCCTTATTCCGCCCACCCGATTTCTTTCTTCGACCCGACCCGCGATCTCCATGGCTTGCTCTAGGTTAAACGGGTTCATGAGCCTGACGTCAGCCTTGATGTCATCCTTGAGCCCTTGTATAAAATGGCCCATCATGATGGTTTCTGGAATATCCTCCAACGGCGCTGAGAGTTCAATGAATTTCTTTCGATATTCCATTACTGTCGTCTCCTGGCTTGCGGCCAGCCACTGCTCGTGGAGGCTCCCGGCGTGAGTTGGCCGGAATTGACGCCAAACCCGCGCTTTCATGCTCTCCCACGTCGCAATAGGCCTCCTTCGATTCTCCCACTGGAACCACCTTAGTGCATCCCCTTCCAACGCCGAGACAGCCGCCTGCAATTTTTGCTCCTCCGTGAGACGGTAGTGGAGAAAGTACTTCTCCCCTTTAAGGATCCACCCATCCGGGTCCGCACCTTCGAATATGGGCATATCAAGCTTCCTCGGCTTCCAATGATGGTCACCACCACCGTTCTGGTTGCGGTTTTCATGGCAGTAGCCTTGTTCTTGTTCGTGATGCCTTTGATTCAACAAGTTCCGCAGCTCTTCGAAGAACTGGGCTTGTGTGGTGGCGTTCGCGGCGGTCTGAGCTTCTTGCTGCTGCCGTAGCAGCTCAAATTGATTATCAAGCTTCTCACTGGCCTCGCTCAAGGTCTTCTTGAGTGTTTCCTCTTGTGTTTTCATTGCCGCCTCCATTGCTTCCAACAGAGTTAGAACTCCCACCATTTGCTCGTCCAGGTTATCACACCTCTGTATTGTAGATGTAACCATATTTTTTTTTTTTTTTGAAAACAGAGTACAGAGTGGTGGTTTCCGGTACCGGCAGGCGCAGGACCACCGCTCTGATACCACTTGTAACACTCTAGTAGTGACTCACTTGTAGTAATATTAAATTATGCAATAAAGACTTGATTTTTTGAGGAAAATGGGCAGCTTTTGATTAATATAAAGATGGAAGAAACAAAACAAGAGTAGCTTGAGGCTACTAGTCTCTGATTTAGCACCTTTAGGGCACCACTCTCTAACTCTAGAAATTACTATGATCTTGCCTACCTAGCCCATCCCACTCTCCCTTTGTTAAATATACATAATCTGCCAAAAGAAGGAAAACAACAAAAGTTGTTGTAGCAGCTGTCAAAGCTCTCCTCTGATTGGATGATGCTGCTCTGCTTGGTGACTGCTCTCTGCTTGGGGGCTGCCTTGGTGACTATTCCCTGACATGCTATTTTGCTGACCCTTCCTCCTCCTTCTTGAGTAAGTAATCAAATCATGACCCTTGTTGAGCATTGAGTCCGTTACAGTTTCTTTTTCAGCAAGTTATTAAAGACAACAAAATGGTGAATGTAAATGGTGTTCACACCATTCTTGGAATTATTGGCAACTTAACTTCATTCATCCGACTTGCATCACCAATGCCTACAATTTGGAGATTCCTGAAGAAAAAATCAGTGGAGGAGTTCACATTTCACCCATATGTTGCTGGGATAATGATTTGCATCCTGTGGGTATTCTATTCTATGCCATTTGTACACCCACATAGCATTCCAGTCACAACCGTGAACTGCATTGGTCTCTTTTTGAATGTTGTCTATGTCATTGTATACTGGATATATACAGTGAATAGTAAAAGGAATGAAATCAAAGAATGTCTTAGTGCTGAGTTGGGGGTTCTACTTTTCTTAGCTAGTGTGACGCTTCTAGCATTCCACAACCAGACGACAAGATCCAACTTTCTAGGAGTATTCTGCGATATCTTTGGGATTGTATTCTATGGAGCACCACTTACTGCTATGTGGAATGTTATCAAGACAAAAAGTGTTGAATTCATGCCACTGTCTATATCCCTAACTGGATTTGCTAATGGAATTGTCTGGAGTGCATATGGTGTTCTCAGATTTGATCCCTATATTCTGATTAGCAATGCATTTGGAGCAATACTCGGTGCCCTCCAACTTATATTGTATGTTGTCTACAGCAGGTCCAAACCAAAGGATGCCCCCAATCCAACCCCCCAAATTCAGCTATCAACTGGCACAAAAAGTTTAGCTACAGCTGCAGTTTGAGACTAACATGGAGCTTTACTACCTCAAATTCCTTTCTTATCAGCCCTATGTTTTGTGTAACGATGGATTTTATAATTAATCAGACGGTCAAAGGTTTATTTTTGTAAGTGAACAAAGAGGAGAATCACAACAAAAGAATACAAAACAATAATTAGTTAGGACATCATTATGATAGCTCAAAATTTCCTTGTATAGGTGTTTCAGAGTAGCACATGGCACTTAAATCAGACTATTCAGATATCCTGTGATATTACCTTCTCAGCAATACACAATCTATAGAAAGTGACTGAACTAGATAAGGTTCATTCCAATATGTCATGAACTCAATGATAAAAAGTTTGAATTAAAAGGGGGGAGGTAGCAGTGCACACACTTTTCACAGACTCCACTTGCTCTCCAAAGTTATGCAGAACCATCTTCAACATTATGATATTTTTTTTTTAATGGCCAGTTCATATTCAACAACAGATCATAAACAGTGTAAAAGATACTACAGTAGTATATTCAAACTAAGCAAAAAAAAACAAGTGCTGATAGCTCATGAATTGTAGTTGCATATATATAGAATATCATGCCATATACTTACTCAGATGTGAGACGCTTTGCCAGGAAAACCTTCATGGCTGCACCAAAATCAAGCCGAGACAAAGCATCAAGCTCAGGGTATTCTGATACCTGACCTCCAACATCAGTACAGATGCCTCCAATAATAAGAAGGCCCACAAGTGGCATAGGAAGTACACGAGAAGCCCATAAAAGCTTGGATCTCCAAGGGTCAAGAATTTCAGGAATTTCCGGTTGTATCAAGGCTTTAGTCGATTTGAGGGTCATATCTCTTGCAAAGGTAAATAAACTTTCACCTCTTTCCATCTGAAAGATTTGAAGATAAAAAGAAGATATAAGTCAAGTTTGAGCCTCTCGTTCTGTCATTTTCAACCGCTAACATTCCATGAGCACAATCAAGTCTACCTTCTCTAAGCAGATTGCAAAACACAAAACCTCATGGCTAAGGCCTCAGAGTCTAGGTTAGATTTGAAATTATTGTTAATCAAGCTCACATAATCACTTGACTGATCCCGATGTAAATTGTTTAGCATTTTATGGTGTATAATCATATTCAACACAACAAAACATGGGATAGTAGACAAACAAAACAATGTTACATTAGCAGAATGTTTATTACAAGCCCATAATTCATCGGAATCATAAAGTAGATATTGTACCTGAAGTGACCTGAAGGTCTCAAAATCTAAGTCAGCATGGTACCAGTTCTCCGCCTGGTAATCAAGACAATCTAACTGGAAATCAAGCATAAGTATTCGAGCCATCTGTCTTTGAATAAATCCAAGAATATTAAAACCTCGTGAGCGGGAAGATTTAAGCCTCCTTTTAGACGCAGCATTTCGACGATTTTCTAAACTCTCTCTGCTAGCCACCATCTCATAAAGGACACAGTCATATGGTTCAAGATCCTTCTGCAAGTTAGCAAAATATCTGCACAGTAACAGACATTGGTTCATCAGAATGAGGACCGCAGTGAGTATACATCTAACTATCTAAGGACAGTTGCAAGCTAATTGATTAGCAACATGAGCTACATCAATAACTCAGAAAAAAGAAAAAAGGGGGAAACAATGAATGCAGTGGAGTGCAGCCCCCTAGCAGAATAATTTTTAGGACAATTTCCAATTCAATAACTCAGTTTGTAAAATTCAAATACAGCTATAATATTAATTCAACCCGAAATTAGCCTCAAGTAACTAGATTCCCTGAGAACAGTATAAATATTATACTTTGTATTAAATAGATTCAATAACTAAATTTGTTTTAAGAATACTACCACCAACTATGACATACTGAAACTCTAGCTATAGACAGAGGCGTTCCCGGAAACACCCTATACTCCATGTCTATCAAGTTAGCAACCTGCTCAATTTTATTTTTTCAATTACTTAATCATTTAATCCATAAAAAAATTCACAGCTTCTAACTTCCACATTAACGCACTAATTCAGTACTATAGATTAAGTTCTCCATTTCACAATTCAGTCAACTAACAAAGAATTGGTATACACCAAGCTAATATTTGATATATTTAGTATCATATATACTTCAGTTTGCGTTGCAAAACCTCCTCAGTTCAGTCAATTCAACAACAAGGCATAATTAAAACTTAATTCAATCAAATTGGTGATTCTGAAGCTCCAATTCTTTAACCATTATCAGGATTTATCACATCAATCAATCTCAAAAACAAAGAAAATTGAAGAAAAAAATTGATTTATGTTGAAAACGTACTCTTTATCTGCAATGTGTATAGTAGAAACCAAATCAACCTGCAAAAGTCAATCAACCCCCAAATTAAAACTTTTAAAAATCAAAAATCAACAAACCTAATCACACTTATATTCCAAAAAAAAAAAAGGGAAATTACCCTGAGAAAAGGGCGAAAAAGGGACCAAGGGAACTTCTTACGGAAACCAACAACAGCAGTCTGCAATTCACCATCACCGCCATCCGAGCTTTTACGAAACCTCATGAAATCAGCGATGGCATTGTTCTGAAAAAACTGCTCCGGCGACGACGTCGTTGAATCATCTTCCAGCGGCGGAGAAGGCGGTTGCCGGAAAACAGAGAAAGCTCGGGGAGGAGAGAGAAAATTAGGGTTCCGGCGAGAGAAAGTGAAGAAGTGGGTAGGTTGAGGGTAGGAGAGAGAATCGGAGGAAGAAGAAGAAGAAGAAGAAGAAGTGGAAGGGAGAGGAGAGAGAATGGAGAGAGAATGAGCTACCATTGTTGATGGTTGTGAGAGAAACAGAAACATGGTTCCGTTACCTCATTTTAGTCTGGTTCTCGTTTTTTCTGTTTCTTTTTTTTTTTCCTTAATTTTTTTTTTCTTAAAATAGAAATATCTTTTATTTTTACTTTAATTTATTGTTCACTTAATTTTCACTCATTGCTATTACAATGAATTTTTCACAAAACTTTGTTGAAAAAAAATAATTGAAATGAAACATTAGCTTAGCTCTTTAAGATAATTCATAGATTCCCGTTAGCAAAAAAAATAATCCGTAAGTAATGAGTATGGAGTTTTTTTTTTTTTTTTTTTTTTTTTTCCAATGGTTCAAAAAATTACAACATTAGCTTGATATACTTGTAAAAGTTGTAATGATTATTAATGGTGTATATTGCAAGTAATTTTTCTAAAAAAATTAGCTAAAAATATGTTTAAAAATGGCGTTGTTTAACAAGACTTTGTCACGTGTCACCCTCTTTTTTTAATTAACATCTTGTCACTTTGCCACCTCATATTTGCAAATGATATGTCATTTGAATATTTGATTAGTTAAGTTTAACGATTTAAGAAGCCATATAAATGAAGATATAAGTATATAATTATCAGAATAATCATAATCTCCCACCTTTCAAATCATATCTTCTACAAACCATATTAGGCCTATAAAAAAAAGATTAGGACTAAATTCTCCCAATGATCATCATGAGTGATTGTTATATACACCCAGGTGTACGGACGTACGGTACACCCAAGAATATTTGTTTGTTCATTTGATGATAAAATGAGCAATAATCATCGAAATGAAAAAAAAAAAAAAAAAAAAAACTCTTAGGTGCACCATGTACCCAAGTGGATACAACAACTTCTACATTGACAAATCTTAATATCTTATATTCCGTGTAAAACTCTTTAATAATTTAACTCCTATAGTTACTTCACTAACTTAGTTACTTGAACTATACTAACTTAGTTACTTGAACTATTTGTATATCTATGACGTATCAATTACTCTAACTTTCAAAAATAAATAAATAAAATCTTTAGGATGAACGCAACAACTGTCTCTAAAAATTAACACTTGTTCTTTTGAAATTTTACATGCTAAAGTGAGGTGTCGTTAGAAGATCTGTTCTTGACTTCTTGTACATTGAGTTGCGGCTAAGGCTCATTCATTCAACTTTCCAAAGATAAATTACTCGGGACAGTGCAAAAGAATAAATAACTCCTTCATTCATACAAAAACTTGATTTATTACATAATTATCACTACATTCATTATATTAATCTTACAACCAATTATATAGATTTGTACTACATAAATTAAATATTACAAAAAAAAAAAAAAGGAATAAAAAAAAAAGAAAGGGACAAAAGAATGGTCTTTCCTGCAGCACCAAGGATAGAGGAGTGATCATCGACTCTAATGCTCTATACTCCGTACAAAAGAATTGAAGAAGATGATGATTAGCACCAGGAGGAATGATCATGACCCCTATGCCTTGAACTATTCGTAACTAACGCTTCTTAGCTATGGATAATCCCTTCTTAGTTTGGTCCAGACCGCTCACTGCGACAGAGATCGAAGGCCTGCCTCTAAATCCTCTAAAGTGATTGTCAGCAACTCATCTGAGTCCATACAATCAAAGCTAAGCCTAAGGTCCAAATTCTCCCGGGCACTAACCAACATCGGATCAATCAAACCCCCATTCATTTCCTGTCGTTGCTTTACAGTGGTTTCTCTCTCAATCAACTCTGCAATAGTATCCAAAGTGCAGAGAGAATGTAACCTAAATCCGTATAATAAGCTACTTTCAACTTGGTTGTTCATCTTTACATGGGTAATGTTAGCAAGATCCTTGGAATTAAAATCATCAAAATAGAAAAACTTGGTCACCCTTCTGCAAAATCCTTCATTGGAACATATTACCCGTTTCATAGGCTCGCTGTATCCAGCGAATATGACAACTATCTTCCCGTTGTCCATTATTGACATTATCTCTTCTAAAGCCTCCAATCCATAATCCTTATCGTCTGATTTCTGCATTGGTATAAGACGGTAGGCTTCATCCACAAAAAGAATCCCCCCTTCAGCTTCTTTAATCTAGGCAACATCCAGAAACAATTTGCTTAGAGTTAGTTATCAATAATCAAGTCTCAAATAATTTGACTAGTAGGGCAGGGGTAGAAGGGAAAATAAGGATAAGAACAATACCACTCTCCTAGTCTTTGGCCCAGTGTGACCAACGAATTCGCCCACCAAATCTGTCCTCTGCACTTCCGTCACTTTATCAGTTGGCAAAATTCCCACCATATGGAGTAATTTTCCAAGAATTCTGGCCACCATAGTTTTGCCTGTCAAGCAATAATAATCAATCATTATTACATTGCATCTGATAAACAATCCATATGATGTGCCCGCCTCTATTATAGGAAGACAACAAAAAGTCATTCCAGATCATCTATATGTAATTTTAAAAAATAATTACCATGTGCTTGGCATAATAATGCATACTGCTTTACAGAAAATCTATACTTAAATTGCACATCATGTTTTGTTTATAATAATGCACATGCTATCTCTAATCCCATAATCTGTTGACTATTATAGATCACATAATACGAGCAGTCATATAATCATCATTCAACAGTGAAATAGTAGTAACATATATAATACCATGGCAATAGGGTTAATCCATTTCAAGTAACAGGTTTTGCATGGCTGCCTATTATGGCAATGTCGACAAAATAAGCATTCAACTGGCTTGTTCAGGCTTTAAACAATCCA